CCGTATCGCGTCAATGCGTCTGGAGCGTCAAAATTACCTAAAAGGACCATCCATTTCGTTGTATTGTGATGCACGGATAAAAATGGTACTATTCAAATTTTATCTTAAGAAATATTAAATATTTTATATATTTATTATTTATAATATTAGGATTTATAACCCTAAGTCCTATTTGATCCTTACCCACGCACGACATTCCTCTGCCTCGACCGAAAGTCCGCTCGGGTTTGGCTTCCCTCACACGCGGCATTCCGCTGCCGATTCAGCACGCGGCTCTCCTCGAGTTCCTCTCGACCGAACAGCCCTCCAACGGTGGAACTCCACCTGGCCGACCCTTCCTCTGCCCTAGGCTGCATTTCCTCTTGCCTTAAATCTTTCTCACCTCTCCCTTTACACGATTTGCTTACTAGGGTGGCTGGTAGGTGGCTGATCTCCTCTTCTAATGCTTATAAAATCCCATTTGGGGGAAGATTTTAGGGTTGGCCGAAATTTGGAGAGTGGGGAGGTGCTGCCAAAATCTTTTCTAACTTACATTTTCTTCTCATTTTCTGTGGCTTGGGAGTTGTTAAAATTTTTGAGGAAGAAAGAAAGAGCTCTTGAAGGAGAAGAGGCTTTGCCGAAATCCTCTTTAAGCTAGAACTTTCGAGTGTTTGTGGCGTGGAGCATTTTTTTGGTTGCCGTTTCTGAAGATCTTGGGAGGGATATCTCGTTCGGAGTGGTTTTCTTGAATCATTCTTATAATTTTATTTTTAAAGCGGCATTAAGAGGTATTTATCTTCCTTCCTCTGATTTGCAATATTTCCGATGACATCTAAAAATACTTCTTTGCTCTTTTAGGACATGTGAAAGCTTCTTTGGGTTTAATGTGTTACACTTGGTGGATTTGAGAGTTTACATTTTTATGAGGTGCATGTGCACGGGTGTGGTATTTTCTTGTTTCCTAACTCCAAGGCATGATTTTATGCGTGTTAAAATATGATGTGTTGCTTGGATCGGGACATTAAGCTAGTTTATTTTGTTTCTCTAGAAAAAAAAGAGAAGGGAAAGGGAAGATAGATGGGAGATGTTTCGGCTAGCCTTGGTATTAGAGGCTTGATGGAGCTTATTACTTTGCCCTCATTCAATTAATTTCTTGGCTTTGATGTTTGCTCTTTTAATCACTTCATATTCACAAATGGTAGCATGATA